TTGTTTGAATCTGACCTGGTGTCCAATCCTCTTCTACTCCATCATATCCGGGCTCCACGGCTTCCCATTGCTTCCTCTTTCTTAGGGTTAGCGTTACTCGATGTTTCCAGATTGTGTAGTTATCGTCATTTAAAGGTTCTATGCATCTTCGGTAAACTTCTTCTGACATCTTGAAATATTTTATCGTCTTCTTATATCGTCTTATTTACTTCCTTTCTTCAAAATCCCATGCAGCACGTGGGACCGAGAAATGGCCGTCTTTGCCGTTTAGGTCCGTATCTTCACTTATCCTATTGTCTTCACTCGTCTTCTGAGTCTCCAATCCGTTTTATCGGTGTCCGGCGCAGTGCTTGAAGACTCTGGGCCCATAACCTGTTGTTTCCTTTGTGAAATCACATTGGATCATCGAGGTAAAAACGGATAAGAAATGAAACGCCTTCGTCCAAATCTAACGTTTACTGGAGACTAACTTCATTCACAAACATTACAAGATACCAAAGGTACATTAACAAAAGAAAGTAGCAGTGGGTGTGGTACCAACTTATGAACAATATATATCAAAAGATAAATATGGCCAACCTACAACTATAGTACTACAACACCTGAAACACTAAAACTTAATGTTCTATTTTCACAATTCAAATAAACTCCTTTTATATAATTCTTCCATTCACAAACTCACCAATATACAGAAGTTGGCTAAAACGGTTACGCTTCCAATTTGCATTCAGGTGGGAGCCAGTTTGAATGTCAGCCGCTACAATTACTACCCTAACTGGGGGTTTTATAAATTTCCTCAGTTCCTCCAGGCAAATACCAGAATACTAGCTTAAATTAGGCTACAACGACTTCCTTGTACATCCTTCCCAATTCACTGTTGACTACCATACCATTTTACATTATACTACCTGAGCTACTGACCATGTCATTAAATAAGCCATACATATATTAAAACAAAACAATAAACTTGTTAGTTGTGGGCTGTTCCACAGCTTGGGTGAACAACTGCCAGCTTCAAACCACAGCAGCTCTAGTTCAATCCTATGCCAGTCCATGTGGGATTTCTGGTGGACAAAGTGGGACGAGGTAAGTTTTTCACAGTGTTCTTTGGTTTCCCCTGCCAATTCTCCTTCCACCAACTGCTCCATATTCATTAATCATCCTATCACTGATGGCATAAAGTCACAAGAGTGACAGTATCATTGAATAACAAACATACAAACAACTCATTAGTTTCACAATTTACAGAACACTAACAATATTCAATCAAATGTGTGACAATAATGTAGGCATATTTCGAAAGTATACCAGAATCTAAATGAATGTGCAGGGTACTTAAGCCTCCAAGCCAACTGGTGGCTGGCTCTTCCTGTGGGTAAAGTGTCTGGGGCATGAGGTGATCACTCACCTACAACTACTGCCAAGCTCAGTCACAGTGGAGTTACACCTCCATTCCTTCATACATCCTCACAGTGTGATCTTTAATTAATGTAGTAATATTAATGTTAATCTGAAAATGATATGAAAGTAATAGTATTAAATTTTGTTATAATCAACAATTGATTTTGATATTGAAGATAGTGTATTATTACTTACTACTTAGTCAGTGCCTCATCTTACAAAGTATTGTCTGTTTATTTATTTATTTTGTCTCTATAGATCATTGTTACATGATATAGGACAAGTCAGTTACTGTACATTGGTGAATTACAATAAGAGAGTAAAGTTACAATACTTACAATTGTTTATAATAGATTAAAGTAGATTACAATAGTTAAGAGTTCGTATAGTGTGAGGTGGAATCCATATTAGGTCCCCTCGGCATATTGGCTTCCATATGTCCTCTTGTACCTGTACCGGTGATTATGCTTATGGAGAATTTGATGGAATGAGGATTGGCAGGGGGAACCGAAGTACTCAGAGAAAACCTGCCCCAGCCCCACTTTGTCCACCACAAATCCCACTTGACTAGACCGCAGCAGTGGGAAGCTAGCAACTAACCGCTTTAGCTATGGCGTGGCCTTTGAGATAATATTGGTGAATTTGGTGATAGCACTGGTCTAACGTTTTACTGTAGACTCTACACTGCAACATCTCATTACATCTGTTCTCCCTTCCTGGTGCAGCTTCTTGGTATTTGCAATCTCTCCAGATTATGTATTTCCTACAGAACGGATTCCCGTTCTGTAGGGAATGTAAACATCTGATTTGGTGATGTAAGATTAAAGTCAGTGCAGGGTAGAGAGGGAGGGAGGGGGGGAGATACAGATAAGGTGTATGGTGAAGTGGTGATAAGGGGGGAAGGAGGTATGACTGTATATTATGTTTTGTATGTATCAATGATTGGCTATGCTACAAGCTGGAAGGTCACGGGTTCAAGTCCTGATGAGGTCAATGGATTTTTTTCAATTGACCTAATCCTTCCAGCCGCACTATGGCCTTGGGGTCGACTCAGCCTCTAACAGAAATGAGTGCCAGGAATTAATTAAAAAATTTCCCTGGTGTGTCACGCGCGGCCGGCGCGTAAGGCTGACAACCTTATTGCCATCTTCGAGCAGACTGTCTAGATAATGTGAGAGCCTCAACGTCTCACAACCCCATGGGCCTTCACGGCCTGGTACAGGGATAGCTTTACTTTACTTTATGTATCAATGATTACATCATATATAGCGTAAAACATTTCGGTAAAATTATCATTCAGTTGCAAATACAGTTTGCTGATTTCGTCAATGCAAAATCTTTCATACGTATCCAAGGTTCGGCCTTTCTTGCCGATATATAGAACTTCTGTTTTGTCTATCGTACTATATTCATGACTCGTATTCCTGCAAAAAGACAGCTCTTTCACACATGCACAAACACAAAGTATAACTTGCCATCGTCTTGAACACAAATTAAAATTGACAGTCCTTTACATTAACCTTGACTAACCTGAAAGCTTGATGTAAAGTTTCAGTACAAGGCCTCTGAAGAACAATTTCATATTTTTCCTTTGTTGACTTTTGTTCTTTACCAGGACCATACAATACAAGTGCATCTTCACGACACTGAACAAATCTGTCGCTATACTGATCTGATTTAACGTCTAAAACTTTATTCGGGTTTGATTGTTGACTCAACAAATTTCTAAGCACGAAGCCAGAAGTCAATCCCAAAGCTCCTAACCAAGAAGACATTTCATTAAAGTCAGATCTATCGATCCCTAATTTGAACCAAACGAATACGTAATCACGTCCACGGACCACTTCTACACATCACGGCCATCGCGGCGCCCTGTGATTAATGAAGTAACCGCAGTCACCGCTGTCATCCCACTCCCACTTGCGTGGCATGTAGATAACATACTGTAGTAGCTATAGTAGAACTGTAGAAGTGACCAAATTATAGAGGGCGACTTCGTTCATCCACGGATGTGAGCGAGAGGTTATGCTTCCCACTACTTACTTACTTACTCATGGGACTGAGCCCTTCTTGAGGAGCCGCCAATTCTGCAGCTACTCAAGAATTTCCCAGCATTTTATGGAACCCGAAGGTTCATCACCGTGTTCACAAGAGCCCTCCAATGGTCCCTATCCTGAGCCAGATATATTCAATCCATACCATCCAATCCTATCCCTCTAAGATCCATTCTAATATTGTCCACCCGCCTACGCCTTGGTCTTCCCTGTGGTCTCTTTCCTTCTGACTTTCCCACCAATATCCTATACGCATTCCTCGTCTCCCCCATTCGTGCTACATGATCTGCCCACCCCATCCTCCTTGACTTGATCATTCTAATTATACTTCAAGAAGTTTAACATTTTGTAATCTGTGAGTTTCCAACATATAACGTTGATATGCCTATCTACAGGTATTAAGTAACCAAGCCTTGCCCATTTTGACCTAGTCCTTTTCTTTTTATTTTCGATCTCAAAGCTAACGCTAGAGCGCGCTAGAGCGGTGTAAATTAAATGTTCCTCCAAAATTGCTCCGTGCACGATCCGTGAAAACTGAGCTCAAGACTGGCAACAAAAGCATAATGTCTGTGACCTCATCAGCTCTCCGTCTTATCGGTCTTATCTGACGTGGTTGGCAGGCAAAACGGATCGTCTGTGGGGGTGCGACGGGCCCTGACGTTCGTAGGGTTACGATGTATTGATGGTATTGATACGGTTGCTAGTGGTACATAAGGGGTGCGAGGTGTGATAACGGATCAATCGTTAGCGATCGTTAGCAGAAGTAAGCCGGAGGTTTGTGTCAAGTACGGTCAAGTACCGTCAAATAGAAGAATGGCTTACATTGTTGCCTTAGTAATCTAGTAACACGGGAAGCTGTTGGAAGTGTGAATATTGGTGACGTACACGCAATGCATATATTTATTGTGGGGCAGTAAATAGACTCTGTTTCTACTTCCATATATATAAATAAATTACAAAACTTGTGAGAATTTTAAAAGGTAAGCAAATCAGTATTGAGTAATTTAGAGCATTAAATATATTACGGCAAAACCCATCACCGATGAGTTCCGTTCATCCTATGTTACGTAACCTGATGGATGATCTAGATTGCGTGTTCAGTGTTAGTGCACGTGTAAGGATTCACTTTATGTATACAGGCTGTTAACTGGTATTCTAAATTAAATGATAATATTCAGTTTGTTAGGGCATATTGTCATCTTCATGTCCGTTCTTCAAGTCAGTTATAGACACTACTCATGCCATTTTCGTTAAAATTTGTGTGAACAACTTGTCGTTGGAATGTGTTTCAGCTTGGTATTTTAACATCCCATCATTAGTGTTTGCTAATTTCAAATACCCAGTATCTGACACATGAAAAAAATATCAGTAGTTGATCTGTTATGTTGAAACCCACACTGATGATCCCCATTAATTTCATCAATGTATGGACTTAACCTTGAGAGAAGGGTATTGCATAAAATTTTGTATGAAGTTGATAGCAGTAATGTCCTGTGCTAATTACTACAGTCAGTTGTATTGCGCTTCTTTAACTTGGTACGATAATAGATTCCTTCCACTTATCAAGCAATTCTTCCTTATTCCAAATAGAATTATTAGTTTATGGATTTCAGACCATAATGTTTCACCTCCTACTTGAATCAGTTCTGTTGGAATTTGATCATTACCTGGTGATTTATACCTTTTCAACTTTGCAGTAACAATTTCAACCTCAAAAGTACTGGGATCAGGTACTAATGGCTCAGCTATATGTATTTACATCTGCCTAACATCATTGACTGTATGTACATTCAGTAACTGAGAGAAGTAATTCTTCCAACTATTCAAAATGTTGTGGGAAAGTGCAAGCAGATCACCATTATCATCCTTCCCTAAGTTACCTCTAGGTTGGTAATCCCTCTTAAATTCATTTATTCCTATGTACAAGTCTGTAATATTCTTATTGTTACTGTGAGTTGCAAGCTCATTAATTTTGTCTTTTAGATATTCTTGCTTTTTATTCCTGAAATGCCTGCTGGCTTCACATCTTATGTTGTTCAGATTATCCCCTTGTATTTCACTTGGATCCTGTAGCCACCGCAATTTGGCTTGTTTTCTTTGGTCTTATAATTTTGAGCATCCTTTGTTGAACCATGGCTTGTGCTACTTCAATTCATAATAACCTAGGCTCTCTTTTGACTGAAATTTTTATATTTATTGCCTTTATTAGTTTTACAAGTTCTATTAACATTCACCTCAGTATCCAAGTTTTCCAAAGCCGTGGACTTATTTGAGATTTAAACACGATACTGCTCCTTACCCTCTACCTCTTTTAATTTCTTAAGATTGAACCTCTCCATATGAACTGTGTGTTGTTTGCTTACTCACTGCCAATCTTTCCCTAACCTTTGCTACCACCAGGCAGTGGTCAGTATAACAAAATGCTGCCCTGACTGATCAGGCATTAAGTATACTTGAATGCCATCTCCTGTCTATCAAAATATGGTCAATCTGTTTATGCATCTTTCCATCAGGAGGTGTTCAAGTAAATTTATGAATGTTACAATGTGGGAACATTGTACTTTTGACAATAAAACTTTTGGTTGTGTCAAAATTTACTACTCTGACTCCATTATCATTAATAATTTTGTGTGAACTCTCATTCCCAATTGTTGGCTTGAAAATGTCTTCCCTGCCTACTTTGCCATTGAACTCGCCTAACAACATTTTTGTATGGTATTTAGGGAATTTATCGAATACACAATCTAGTTCCACAAAGAAGCTGTCCTTTATACCATCAATTTTATCCTCTGTTGGGGCATGAACATTCAGAACTATAATATCACACCAGTGATATTAGTATTATGAACGACATCCTGTCACTAACAAACTTTAACCGCTGATATGTTTCTCTTATGTACAAAGAACCTTTAGCTAATTAATGATTCTTATTCTCCTTTCCATAGAAAAATGTATATTTGCCTGCTGGTTCAGTACCACCTGTGTGCCATCTGACCTCCTGTACTCCCACTAAATCTAACTTATAGTTCTTTTAACACTGTCATGAGAGAACCTGCCCTGTATAGACTTTTTACATTCCACATATCAAATCTCATGTCAGTTTTCTGTAGCTTAGGTTATTTGTCCAAAGAACCCGTTGAAGTCCGAGGCTGAATGTGACATTTCATAACAAGCTTATTTTTTACGGTGAGGAGTGGTTAGCCCCGTGCCAAACCCTCAAGCTGGAGGACCACCCCTTGTCAGGTGTCCACGACTGCTTATTCAGTATGTTTGCAGGTGCCCTCCATATCCAGAGGCTGTCTCCTCTGTCCGCAACCTGAGAACACACTATGCCATGATGACAAGCGACCCACCTAAGATGGAGGCTACTTTACCTATTATGAAAAAAAAAAGTAGGCTCATGAAATCACCTTGCTATCTGTATGTCTGTATGTGTATCCCCCCTGTTGGTGATAGGCAATGGCTTGGTTGCTTTTTTTAGTAACAGATAATCTGTGATTAGTACTGCCAGCTCATGCAGTTGCTTATCTGCATCAGTAGTTGCTGTTGAATTCATGGTCATTATAGTGCTTAATTCTTGTCTTTTGTTTCTCTTAATGTATATTACCTTTCTTCATTAGTGTATAAAATGGACAACATACACAGTGTTGAAGGTGATGTCAGCCAATTGGAAAGTCAGCAGAATGTGGCAGTGACTCACTCCACAGCATCAGGCAGCACTGAACATTGTGATGCAGTAAATGGAAATGATGCACTTATATCAGCAGCTGGAAATGAGAAAAGGAAGAAGAAGAATAGAAGGAAAAAAGATAAATTAAAAGTTATGAATTCAGAAAATAGGTATGTGTTCATGTAGAGTCACACATATATCATATATAGGCACAAATGTAGCAACATTTCTGGAGTCCCAGATGCCGGCTGTCTGCATGATTATGCTTCGGATCCTCATACCTTGGGACCCTCCTCGTCAAAACTGTAATCTGAATTACAAAAAGCCTTTCTTTTACCTCAAATTACTGATTATTATGGACTATGCATACTCGGTTGGGCCCATTACGAGGAGCTAATTCAGTTGCTTAGTGTGCCTATAGTTTTCTCTCTGTACTATTGCAGAAAGTAATGTAAATTAAGAAAGAGGACAAACATAGAAACCCATGGTCAGAATAGCTGGTCTCCAGGCTGGTATTTGAACATTGGATCTCTCAAATATAATGTTCAGTAAAGTTTTGATGCAGTATTAATAAAAATGAAATTATTGAGTACAATCTTGTATCCCCCCTTTCCTATTGTAGGAGCATTAAATTAGTTTTCTGCAGAGAGGGAATTGAAGTGGGGTGTTTGACTGGAGAAGGAGTGCTTGTGGGCTTGCTTATAGACACTGTACTTGTCTGAATTACAGATTGCCTGATCTAGAAACATTTTTGAATTCTAATGAAGTGAGTGCCAAAGTGAATAATGGGAACAAAAAACAAATAGAAGACAAAGAGCAAAGAAGGAAAAAAAAGACTAAGGACACCAGCTCTAAGCAGTGTTCATCATCACATTCGCCGTCTGAACAAAAATTTGTGCTCCAAAAGCTGTGTTCTCCCAAGTCTACTCAGGGAAACGGTGCTGATGCATGTGGTGGAGAAGCGGAAAGATCGTAAGCTCTGAATCAGTTCTTAATTAATAAGTTGTGATGACAGCCTTCAGTTTGATGCTGTAACCCCTTGAAAACTCCTTTAATTAGCACCCATATTTTTACATCTTCTTTGGTGTATATTGTTATATTAAATGCAGTCTTTGGTCAGAAAAAGACAAAAAAAAAAGGCATAAGGCTATGATCTACAGGGTGGGTCGGACTCAATTAGGCAGTTTTTGATCATTAATAACTAACCAATCCAACAACACACGGGATAACGGGAAAGTACCTTTTGTTGTCGATAGATGGCAGCATCATACGGTATGCTACAGTATATCACTGTAGTCTGTAATTTAAGGAAATTAAACTTAACATAGCTAATATCAAGAGCTGACATTGTTATTGCTATGATATGAATGTTTTCCTTTTCTGTCTCTCTCTTTCTGATCACTTGTGAGTGAATATTCATATCATTTTCATCATCCTTTCTGTCATTAAGATAATGAAAATAATCCATATTGAAGAGTGTAACAACAGCAGGTACTGAAAACGTGATAATAGAGATAAGTCTGACAATGGTGATTACACAGTTTAAATGTTTTGTTCTTAAATACTCGTACAGTATCTTGACTTCCAAACTTTGTTCTGCTGCAAATGCAGTAAGTTGGGGAGATAAGAAGGAAGCAGAATGGAGACTGCTGTATAAACAGTGCAAATGATATCAGTGACTTCAAGAGCCATAAATGATCTTGAATGCCAAGTTAGGTAAAGGCTGCTTTTGACATTGAACTTGACCATCGATCATCCCATCCAGATGGGCAGTGGAAGTAGAAAGGAAACTGCATTGTAAGCAATAATAATCATTTTGTCAGACTATGCAGAAAGTAATTACTTTTATCATATTTTAAGGTTGAGTTGCATACTTTTGTGATTCATCACTTTATTTATCATCACTTATCATATACCATCAATTGCAACATATTTAGGTTCGCTGTTCACATGACATGTTTCAACATCTACCATGTCATCTTAAGTTACATACTAAACATTAGCTCAAAGTTATTTTCTGTGGTTATGCATGCTTTGAATATTTAGGATTCTTGAACATTTTTTGTCGAGAATCATCTTAAAGTTAAGTACTTCATACATGACAAATATGGTGGTACATTTTTAAACTTTCTGTGTTCTAGAGTTTTTTTGTAAATCATCTTACATATGCCATATGACATGCAGATGTACATACAAAGGGCAGTCAAAAAATTCCCGGAATGGTGGTATAGCACTCTAATGATAGGACATACGGCAATGCTTACCTAATCACCTTCAAAGTAGGACCCTTGTGTGCGCACACACTTGCTCCATCGATCCTACCATTGTTGGAAGCAGCAGTGGAAGGCTTCTTTTGGAATATTCCGGAGCTCAGCCATCGTGTTTGTTTTGATGTCCTCCATGGTTGCGAAACGTGTCCCCTTGAGGCCCATTTTCAGAGTAAGTCAAAAGTCACTCGGAGTGAGATCCAGAGAGTACAGTGCTTGAATGATAACAGGAATGTTTTTCTCAGCGAGGAATTGCTGCACAACAAGCAATGTATGGCTTGGTGCATTATTGTGATGCAGAAACCACTGTCCCTGCCACTTGTCGCACTGCTTCCTCTGAACCGCATCGCACAACCTCTGCAAAACTTGCACGTAGAAATGGCCAGTAACAGTACCAACTTCTTGCTCCAACTCTGCGATGGTCATTCTTCAATCAAATTGAATCAGTTGTCGCACTTTTCCAATCGTTTCTTCGGTTCTGGATGTTGAAGGTCTACTGCTGCACTGGTCATCCTGTAACGTCTCCTGCCCATTCTTAAACTGGGAAAACCAGTCGTAAACTGCGGATTTCTTTAGTGCGGTATCACCGTAAACTTGCTACAGAGCCGATAGTGTCTCTGAAGCAGATTTTCTCAATTTGCACATCAACTTGATGTTCACGCGCTGTTCAAATTGTGACATTGCGCTGAATGACCAACACTTACATCTAATTCAAAGGGAACAGTAATGACACTGAAACCTGTCCAGACCTGTTGCGCCTGCGATCAGACATGCTGAGATTCCCACCACAACAGAGTGTGCACTATCTAATCACTCATTCTCCATCTGCAGGGGAATTCCGGGAACTTTTTGACTGCCCTACATATGTCATACTTATGCCATATTCGTCATATATTTGGGGTGGAGGAATTACACAGTGGGCTCATCACAGTGGCTTCACTGTCTAAGGCATGAACTGTTTTTGCCTGCACAAACACTGTGGTCTGGATTCGAATCCCACTCAAGGCATGAATGTCTGTGTGCATTTATTCTCTGTTTGTGTTGTTCTGTATGAGGTGGTGGTGTCCTTGCGATGGATTGATCCCCTGTCCAAGGAGTCCTACTGACTCTGTGTAGGATTAAGAAACTGGAAAAGTGGCCAAGGTCCAAAGGACTGTAGAGCCATAGAGAGAGATAGAAAAAAGTTACACAGTGAGGAAATTAGATGAATAAGTATGGTATACATTTTGATACTAATTTAAAATATGTGACAGACTCCTTTATCATCAATGATAATCTAAGTGCTAACCTACAGGTGTCCTAGAATAATGTTACTACTCTGCACTACATTTTTTAGTGTTAATGGCAGACATTTTGAGCATCTTCAATAGGAATATCTTGTTGACAAATACTGTACTACCATTTATGCTTGTTATTTTAGTTTAGTTAATGTAAAAGTAAAGTTATCCGTACACTTTAATTTTGTAATTAAGAGCTATGCCATGGAGGCATATGGGGGAATGGAGATACAGCTCCACTATTCTTGCACTTGACACTAGATGCAGGTGAGTGATCAGTTTCACACTCCTGCCACTTTACCCCCAGGGAAACAGTCGCTGGTACCCACTGAGTAGGATGCTTGGTGGGCCCCAGAGCCAATCTGAATGTTACGTTGAAGAGAAAAATATCTTCTTCCTGCCAGGAATCAGTTCCCAGCCATCTAGCCCATAATGTAGACACCATACTGACTGAGCTCTCTCACCTCCCACTGCTCTTAATGTCCTGTAAATAAAGGATGAAAGGCCAAAATATGTGGTAACATTATTCTGGGACACTTCATAGTATGATGGTGCATTCAGTGCTTGGTAACAATAGTTAAAACAAAGACAATACACCAGATTTAATTATAAAATCAAACATTGAACAGTTCCTTCTACTGAAGGAATCACTTCCAGGTTCATCCACATTTTATTTGTAATGCAGAGGTATGCCAAGAGCGCTTTCCTTTGGCTTCATCTGCTGCTTCTTTGATGTTCATTCCAGTATTTTTGTTTTCGTTGCTTACAAATTGTTACCAGTATTATCAGTACTGAAAGAACCTAGCACTAATACAGTTTAAGTAAGCAGTGAATCTTACATTAGAATGTTAAGATTGTGATAAGGAACATTTTGGAACTGTAATAGACAATAAAATCTTTACCAGCTGAGTGACTGTTATCTTCTCATGAAGAACTCTACGTATAAGATTAGTTCATGAATCTTTTTCTGACATAAAACTTTGTTCCTTAGGAATAGCCAATCACTGGAAGGAAGGAAAGAGTATAATACTTTTGACAAGTACTTATCTACAAGGGAAGTTAAGGCAGGTCTTGCAGCAAATGTTTTAATTAAAGGTTCCATACGTATCAACCAGAAAAATTACAAGGAAGCATATATCAACTCACCGGTGAGTTTGCCAATCCATTGACTTAACACAGGTCTATAAGTAACTGCATGTTCTGATTTATACCAGAAAACCCAAGTTTCAGTATGAGTCATTGTTTACAGCCAGGCTGTTCCAAAAGTCTCCTGAATAAATTTCTTTTCCTATTTTTGTGTGCATGCAGTAATAGGTGTTGTAACATGCCTAATCTTTATGGAACCAAGTGATTATTTTGATGACCCCACGTACAAAATCCTGCTCTTCATTCAAAGCAGAGGATTGCTGAAGGGCTAATCAAAAGGGGAAGCATGATAGATCACTGTAGGTCACGGTGCAAGGGCCGAGAAGGCCCACCCCGTATACATTCATTCATTCATTCATTCATTCATTCATTCATTCATTCAACATTCCTAATCCTGTTTCATGAATGTTCAGTACATCACAATGAAGCTGAAAATGAAATAATGTTATGAAGACACAAGTTCTGGGAAGAACTAGTCAGCTACTTACCATTCATATGACACTGACTACATAGAAAATCGAAAAATTGAGGCGTGGTAAACACAGACATACAAACAGCAAGGTGATCTCATAAGCCTAAAAAATTAGAGCAGGAGATACACAGGCAGATGGACAGGCATAGTAGACAGACAGAAAGTGATATCATAAGCCTCCTTTTATTTTTTCAAAATAAATTAAATAGGTTAAAATTGAAGGCATGGGGCAAATAAGAGTATAGAGGAATTGTTTAATAAAATCCATTTGAATTATGGCACTTGTGTGTTAATGGATGACCCAAGTAATGTCAAAATTTATAGCTGTGTTGTCTGGATCATTCGGATTTCAGTGTAACTGGCTCCAAAGAGGGAAGAATACTCCATTGTCTGTTTAGATAGATGGGATGGACGTAAAATGAAGTGTCTAGAGGATTCAAGATTTAAGTATTTGAAAGTCAGCAACAGGTAAAACTCTCTCAGTCCAGCAACCAGCATACAAACATAAAATGATGGAACTGGGGGCAAATGGCATAAGAAGCAGCACTTCACCATCTGGGGGTCACAGTGACTCTATGTTGTGGAGTCAGTTCTACGACAAGAATCCATTCAACACCATTTTGAAAGTTATAAAAGCATATTGGCCACCAGGAATTGAACTATAATTTTTTTGTTCTAATTTTCTTTCTTTATTAAACCATGAGGAAAAGCTATAGAAGTTGTCATAAAATTAGACAGATACTCTCCATGGAAGAATATTAAATGAAGTTTAACATGAGCCGATTGCTTGTTTTCATTAAGTTTTTATATGGCAGTTCCTCTGAATTTAATGTATGGAGTATCCATGAAATCGCAATCAAATTTAGTAAACTGGCAGTAACTTTCAGTTTCTTTTTCAGGTCAATTGATAATGAATGTGCAAGAATGTATGGTAGTAGTATCACTTTGAATTCAGAGGAAGAATTAGAGACGTGTTTGATAGAAAATTTCCCAAGCCTGGACCTTCAATGAATCAGTTTGTGATTTGCGCAAAAACAAAATGAATATGAACCTCGTAATTAGTTTCAGAAACAAGCCTTTATATATATAGTTACAGCTGATTCATGCAACCCTAAAACTCTTCTCCAAATGCCATGTTGTCTCAGGCTGGGGATCCTTGAAATGGTTATTAAAATGTAGACAAACTACAAACAGTTTCCAGACTGATAGTTCTGGATTACACAGATAAATCAAAGCCACATTCTGTGAATGATAGAAGAATGCAGTAAAAGGAATATGTGACAGGAGACATGGTCCAGATTTTGTTTGGGATTTGTTGCATGTTTAGTCTTCCTGCAGATATAGAATGGATAATTTTTTTTACAGGACAAATGTCAGGATATCCTGATTGAAGGCATGAAAGATCGAAATAGAGCTTTAGAAGGGGATGAAGTAGCTGTAAGGATTAATCCGGAATCAGAATGGAAGGTAAGAGAAATATTTTCATGTGGAGGTTGGAGGCCATTTTGATCTAAAAGTACTTCTTTTAACACTTTGAATTTGAATTGTTTCATATTTGGTCCATTACACTATCAATCACAAATTGTCAATGAATAATCCGTCGAGTGTAACAACGTTCTTAGGTCACTTATTTATTTCACTCGCCTTACATGTTTCGGTTCAAAAGAAACCATCATCAGAGGCACGTTACAAACACATGAAACCACTGGCGTTGTATTGTACACAGTATGTAAGCTGCGTGATCTGCTACAGATGTCGGAGTGTAAAAGCACAACACTTTCTAGTAACGTTGAATGCATGTACACCTCTTGCATTCCATCCAAAGAATGCCCTCAAATTGAGCCGTCAATGTTAAAATATTTAAAAACTTAAAACATTTGAAGTAAAATTTGGCTCCTTCTTGTTGATTCGTCCCGGTGATGGGAATCGTCAACTTGAGGTTGTGTATGCTTTTGGTCGGATGTGTCTTACGCATTGTGTGTTGTGTGTTTTAAGTTTTTAAATATTTTAACATTGACGGCTCAATTTGAGGGCATTCTTTGGATGGAATGCAAGAGGTGTACATGCATTCAACGTTACTAGAAAGTGTTGTGCTTTTACACTCCGACATCTGTAGCAGATCACGCAGCTTACATACATACTGTGTACAATACAACGCCAGTGGTTTCATGTGTTTGTAACGTGCCTCTGATGATGGTTTCTTTTAAACCGAAACATGTAAGGCGAGTGGGATAAATAAGTGACCTAAGAACGTTGTTACACTCGACGGATTATTCATTGACAATTTGTGACTTTGAATTTGCTTTAACATTTATATTGTCTAGTAACAGGGATTTTAGATCTCCAGGTACTTGCAGAGTTAGTCTCTGTATTCTGTTTTGAGTGTAAAATCATCTAGGAACAGGGTATTTTAATTGTGCTGGGCCAGTGACTTTGTTTTAACTGAGGGGTAATCGTTAGTGTTATAAAAGTGGAACACTTGGCCACTTGGAATTTGCACAGCTTCTGTTGCAGTGATGTGACTCCCAGTCAGTAAAGGTTAACCGGTTTGGTATGTCATTAGAAATTTGATACAGTGATATAAGTTTGGAGCTGTAGTTGCTGGAATATGAACTCTAACTGATTAAGGAATTAAACTCTTCCAAGTATAATAAGTCTCTTGGTACCATTTATATTCTCCAATTATTGTACCATTTTTCTTGCAGAGTTGTTGGTGATTAGATAATTATAATATCAATAAAGTATGTGTTTGGAGTCAAAGGCAAACAAACATATCATTAAACGCTTTAACCCTTTGCGGTCCAATATAAATACCACTACGATTCTCTGCTGGTCTAATTTAAATAGCACTGAACTATTTATTTTCAGTTACCAATATGAACTGGTTAGTTTTTCTTTGTAACTTGCATAAAACAGAAGAAATTTTGCTGAATATGATGAAAATATGGTCTGCAAGGATGAAAGTTCCTACTGTTTGAATACCGACTCTAGATCATCTATCACATTCATAAAATGTGTGGTGGACTGAGCCCAACAGGACCAGAACACAGAATTTAAATTGACAGACTCACTGCACCATGGGACCGCAAAGGGTTAGTGTAGTTTGCTATATGGTTTTAACAACTTTAAAATAATACTAAGAGTTATGTTTTGGTACATATTAACATGTTTTAATCTTTCATGACAGGTTCAAGACTCAAGCAAACAGAAGACTGGGAAAGTAAGTACTGAGCACTTTGTGTGATGACTTGTAGTACTGTAAGTAATAGGTTACATTTTCTTAATAAATTTTTAAAACCATGCAGAAATTCAGGTATCATATTTAATTATTACATTGACAAGTAACAGATGATAATTAAATATGTCAAGATGCCAGCTTGAAGTATACTCAACAAATATTAAATAACATTTACATTGGTATCAATTACAACACTTTAGTTAAGCTGAGCTGTAAATGAAATTCTTTGATGAATGAAGAGCAGAACATTTTCTAAAAATGTTTGACATTATTTAATGTAAGTATTATTAATTTTGTCTCTATTTTCAAAGGTAAGGAAATGTAATTATATCAAATTGCTTTATTGCTGAAATATTGAAGAACACAACATGAAAGTACAGGATCTCTTAGATGACCAAATTTTACACCAAAGGATAATATTTGCATATATGGAGCCTAATATAAATGGTTTGAGGATAAGATTCACGGTCAGGTATTTGTTGTAAAAAAAGATGATTCCTTAGTATGATGATCAAATCCATATCTTTGGACATGGTGACTAACCGTATTTATTGGGACCAATAGAATGCAGAAGAATGAGGTGTCTGTTTTAGGTGTCAGTGAAGTGCGGTGGAAAGGACAAGGTGAAATAAGAAGTGGTGATTATACAGTCTATTATTCTGGAGGTGAATGGGCTGAAAGAGGTGTGGCAGTAGTGGTGCATAAAGGTGTAGTGAGGAGTGTTGTTAAGAAGATTGTTTGTAATGACAGAATTATTGCTCTGAAGTTAAAGGTGGAACCAGTAGATATAATGATTATGCAGTTGTACATGCCAACATCAGAGTATGAAGATGATGAAGTGGAAAAAGTGTATGACACAATTGAAGAAATTCTTCAGGAAGATGGAAGAGGTGACACAAACAGCATCATATTAGGAGACTGGAATAGCACTGTTGGAGATGAATCATATCAGAATATTGTTGGATCACATGGACTAGGAAGACGGAATCACAGGGGTCAAATGCTTATTGACTTTTGTGAAAGAAATGGACTGATTGTTACCAACACTTGGTTCAAGAAGCCAAAGAGAAGACTTTACACATGGAGGGTACCTGGGGATTGGAGGCGGCATCAGCTGGACTACATCCTTGTGAAACATCGATTCAGAAACAGTGTGAAGGATGTGAAGACGCTGCCTGGGGCAGATATTGACTCTGAACACAACTTACTGGTTGCCAAGTTTCAAACCAGGTTGAAGAAAATTATAATATTCCAAAAGCGCAGACCTAGATGGGATTTGGAGAAGTTATATGCTCAAAGACAAAGCGTGCAAGAGACTCTAGAAGAGAAACTCGGTGCAATTGAAGGTGAAAGCGGAAATGCTGAAGCGCAGTGGAACGATATAAAAGAATGCATGTTAGATACTATCAGTGATTTGGTAGGTAAAGTTGAGAAGATAGCAAGAAAACCATGGGTTACACAGGAGATGATGAGTAAAATGGAGGAGCGAAGGAAATGGAAGAATGTCAACAATGAAGAAGGCAGGAGGAAATACAGGAGACTGAGGAATGAATTGAAAAGAGCCACGGACAGGGCCAAAAAGGAATATCTTGAGAAGATATGTAATGAGATTATGGAATTTCAAAGAACAGGCCGTTATGATTTGATGTACATGAAGACAAAAGAACTAGGATGGAAAGAGAATCATGGGATTCAAAATGTTGGCATCGAAGACTCCCAGGGGAATAGAATAGTAGATCAGAGGCAAGTGCTGAAAATTTGGGAAAATTATATTTCAGAACTATATGATCGACCTAATCGGCCAGAAACCTTAGAAGTTGAACCGGAAGAAGAAGTAGATACAGACGAGAAAGGACCATATATTTTACAAAGTGAGGTGGAAAAAGCTATCAAGGAAATGAGGAAGGGAAAGGCTACAGGAGATGATGATGTACCTGGAGATGTGCTCAAGTTACTGGGAGAAGGTGGTTTGAAAACACTGACAAAACTAATGAACACCATATATGAAAGTGGAGAGTGGCCCAAGGACTTTACAGAAGTTACAATGATTGCCTTAAAGAAAAAGACAAAAGCTACAAAATGCAGCGACCATCGCACAATAAGCCTTATTGCACATACAGCAAAGATAATAGCAAAGATACTTAAAAGAAGAATTGAAAGGAAAATAGAGGATATACTTGGAGAGGATCAGTTTGGATTTAGAAGAGGAAAAGGAACCAGGGATGCAATTGGGATGATGAGAATTATAGCAGAACGAACTTTGGAGATAGATGAAGAACTGTGTGTTTGCTTCATAGACTGGCAGAAGGCATTTGACCGTGTAAAGTGGACCAAATTAATGCATATCCTAAAGGAAATAGGTATCGATTGGCGTGAAAGAAGATTGATTAGTAAATTGTACATGGATCAGAAAGTTAGAGTGCGACTGGACAGAGGGGAGACAAGAAGTGTGAAGATTGGAAGACGAGTTCAACAAGGATGCTGTTTATCTCCAATTTTATTCAACTTGTACAACGAATGCCTTACCAAAGAAGCTCTGAATGGGCTTGGAGACTTCAAATTAGGAGGGCAAATTATTCAAACTGTGAAATATGCAGATGACCTTGTGTTAATGGCTAAGGAAGAAACTGTGCTACAGGGTATGATTGATAGACTAATCGAAATTTGAAGGTGCTATGGCATGGAAATGAATGTGGAAAAAACAAAATTAATGAAAATTTCGAGACACCCAACCCCAGTCACAATAAAGATAGACCAAAAACAACTGGAGAATGTGAAATGTTTTAAATATTTGGGTAGCTTGTTAACAGATGATGGAAGGTGTACGTGTGAAATTAAATCTAGGATTGCCATGGCAAAAGCTGCATTTAGCAAGAAGAAGAAGAATCTTTTTACCAGCAGATTGGACTTAAATTTGAGAAAGAAACTAGTGAAATGCTACGTTTGGAGCACAGCTTTGTATGAGGCTGAAACTTGGACACTTAGGGCAGTAGATCAGAAACACCTGGAAACTTCGAAATGTGGTGTTGGAGAAGGATGGAGATGATCAGTTGGACCAATTATGTGAGAAATGAAGAAGTGTTATTTAGAATCAGTGAGCAGAGGAATATCCTACATGAAATAAGAAAACGGAAGGCTAATTGGATTGGTCATATCTTACGCAGTTAACTGCCTTCTGAAAGAAGTTATTGAAGGAAAGATAGAGGGACAGATAGAAGTGACCAGAAGACGAGGAAGAAGACATAAGAAGATGCTGGATGACCTTAGGGACAGAAGAGGATATTTTCATTTGAAGGAGAAAGCTCTAGATCGCATTAAGTGGAGGAACTGTTTTGGAAGAGACTGTGGACCTGTCGTCTTGACAGATTACAGATGAATGAATGAGAATAGGTTTTTACTGGAGGATGGAGACAGAGTCTTCTCTCTGAAACATCATCTAAAATAAAATGAGGACAGTAGATAATGTCAGAAAATTAATCATTGTGTTACTATGCCATTGCAAGCCTTTAGTTCAAATTTATTTTGGGGTCCCATGACCTACTTAGTGAAGAAATTCTGTTAAGTGAAATAGTCACTTCCCAGTTTAAGTAAGAGGCAGGACTCAAACATAGTAAAATTGTCTCTGTGCTTAATTAAGCACCACACCATAAAGATGTATAGGGGAGTGGAAGTATATCTCCAGGCATTAATTTCAGCACTAGATTGCTTCACACCTAGGAAAAGAGCCTCCAGTACCCATTGGATAGGAGGCTTGGTGGGCCCCAGAGCCACTGAATGATGTGAAGAAGAGAAAATCTCTTGCTCCTGTCAGAAATCAAACCCCTATTCTTCTATCATCCATCCTGTACCCCAGTCTCTGTACTGCCCCCTTCCTGGTTTCTACAAGGTATGTATAATGTTTTGGGATCCTCTAATACAGCAGTTTGGTTTTTATTGATTCCAGGTTGTGTATATCTTCGAAAAAGTACATCCACAAGTTGGTGTAGGATTTCTTAAACCGATGCCAGATCAGAGCAAGGACTTTGCCCTCTTCTCACCAAGAGATCATCGTATTCCACGTATGAGAATTCCAATAGAAAAGTGTCCAGAAAACTTCCTAGTGGATGCTGAGAAGTACAAAGATGATTAGTACCTAGCGCATATCAAAAATTGGAAATTTGTAAATTTTGTTTTGGGGTAAGAGACATGTCCAACTTACAAATAGTTTTTATTTTTGACATGTCACTTGTAGATGATTGTTGTATGGCCTGTCCTTTAAATTACTCATAAATGAATTAGAAGCCAAATATTGGGCATAAATCCTGGAAGTCTATTGTCCATGGTGATTAGAATGTGAAAAACAGGTAAAAATGAAACATGCTTATTATATTGTACGTAGGCGAGTCAAATTAAAACCTTAAATATTTTTTTGAAACTTCATTCATCGATAAATTTCAATAGGTTTCACACCTTCACTACACAAAAACCAAATAACAGAATGCTGTTCTTCCCTGGTGCAAGTCTCAAGTGGAGCAGCCATCTTATACTGGTGCTGTGACGGTGTTCGTGCATCTGCACTATGCTACAACCTACAGGCCATTCTGCACGCTGTTTGTAGCACGCTTACCAACTTACAGGATAATGGCGCGAAATTTCGATTTTTTATTACAAATTTAAGGTTTTCATTTGACTCACCCTCGTACAAAATCAGGATTTCTGTATCAAGGTATGTTCAGATATCATGTTATTATTGTTCATGCATGTAGGATAGTAGGAACAAATCAAAATTTGATTCAGGAGGAAATTAGGAGGAGAAAAGTTGGGTAATTCTTGTTACCATTCAGTCCAGAACCTCTTGTCTTCTCATCTGCTGTCTAAGAACATAAAAGTTAGATCATACAGAACTAATTTTGCCTGTGGTATTGCATGTGTGTGAAACTTGGTCTCTGACATTAGGGGAGGAACATAGACTGAGGGTGTTCGAGAACAGGGCGCTGAGGAGAATATTTGGGCCAAAGAGGGGTGAAGTGACAGGAAGTTGGAGAACACTGCATAATGAGGAGTTTTGTAATTTGTGGTCTTCAAGTCAAGGAAGATAAGATGGGCAGGGCATGTATCACACATGGGTAGACAAAGAATCAGAATGAAAGAGTCCACTAGGAAGATCTAGACATATGTTGAAGGATAATATTTAAATAGATCTTAGATAGAATGAGTGGTATGGACTGGATTGATCTGGCTCAGGATAGGGACCGATGGAGGGCTCTTGTAAGCATGGTAATGAATCTTTGGGTGCAAGTCACAGGAAGATGAACCGGTAATATATTTAGACCAGTAATATGTTGTCTATCCTACTATTATTTATCAATGGAATGTTCCAGGAGTATCTCTGGGCTTGTGTGGCAGACTGAAAGTCAGCCAATACTGCTTTCTCAACTCTTACATAATTATAGGGATGGGAAACGTTGGCACTAACTGAGATATTGGGTGGCACTTGTGATTACAGGCTTTATCCACAGTAACATTTGGAGCAACTTAACAGTTTAATAGTTCATTAAGCCATTGAAGACGCTGTTCGGATTGTTAATTGGTTTATTTAACAACCTACAAGTCTTGGCTACAATTAATTATAACACTATTACGGGTTTACACACTTTACAAACCCTACACACAAATCTCTACACACTGTCCTCAGTATTCTACACGTTTTCACAGTACAATACAGGAGCTATACAAGTGTCACTGTATAACACACTCCCAGTTATTTCTCTTGAGAGTCAAGCATCTGCTTCTCACGCTATCACTTCTGATCACACGTTCCGGTATTCTTCTTTCTGGTCAGGTACTGTTCCATCTGCACTGTGTCACTCCTGCTCACACGCTGACTCACTGGCTCCCTGGCTAATTCGTAACTGACTGTGAATAGTGTTCGCTGCTCCTTATTTAGCCCCGTTACGGACAACACAGAAAACAGTTACGTAATAGGCACCACTGTTGCATAACATCGTGTTTACCGACTGCCTAGGAACAGTCGTTGCACGGACTCACCGCCATGTTTACAAAGGCGTTGCTGGGCAGCACTGCCACTAGTTGTTTATGGCTACGTAGCAACTGCGGCGTCCCATGTTACGTCACCACGGGAAAGGGGCATACCGAGCGTTGCACACTGATGGACGGAGTGGTGGTATGTGACATCACTCATGAGATCACAGAGTTCACATGACCCCCACCTCCCGCTACACCATCCACGTCACAATACATTTTCACTCTTCACTCACTCATGGAGCTGAGCCCTTATGGAGGAGCCACCAATTCTGCAGCTCCTCAAGATTTCCTAGCATTTTATGGAACCCGACGGTTCGTTACCATGTTCACAAGAGCCCTCCACTGGTCCATATCCTGAGCCAGCTCAATCCAATCAATACCATCCCATCCTATGTCTCTAAGATCCATTCTTACGTTATGTAAATAGGTAAAGCTGTCCCTGTAACAGGCAGTGAAGGCCCACACGGTTGTGAGATGTCAAGGCTCCCACATTTTCTCTGAACAGTTGACGGTAAGATTGTCAGCGTTACGTGCTGGCCGCCCTTTACCCTCAGGAAGATTCCTGGTACTCATTTCTGTTAGAGGCTGAGTGGACCCCAGGGCCCTAGTGCAGCTGGTAGGATTAGGTCAATTGAAAAATCCAATGACATCGGGAATCGAACCCATGACCTTCTGGCTTGTAGCATAGTGCCTGAACGAACTATGCTACTGCATGCCCATCTTACTTTATGTATCCACCCCAAATACTGAGAAATATGGTTATCCAGAGAAAGCTAGTTAGAGGAAAACACAATGCTATTGTCACGTGTTGGGTGTATAACACGACAAATAACTTCATGCCTTATTAATATAGTGAATTTATTCCACTCGCTCTTACAATCACACAATTTACAATCTGACAATTACTGCCATTGGCAGTATCACAAATACCCCGACATAAGATAGACAGCTATTGACTGGTTAACTGACTCCCTGGCTAACTCTTAACTAACTCTTGAATAGTGTTCGCTCCTCCTTATTTAGCCCCATTATGGACAACACAGAAAACAGTTACGTAATAGCCACCACTGTTGTCTGACGCTGTGTTTGCCGATAGCCTAGCAATGCTGTCGGGAGTTGTTTACTGCTGAGTAGCAACGGCAGCATCCCGTGTTATGTCACTGTGGGAGGGGGCGGGGTGTTGACTGGCCTATTACCGTAGCAACCGCAACACTCCGAAGGTGTTGCGTCACGGCTGACGGGGGAGGGGGTGTCATGCATAGCGCAAATGCGTTACACTTCTCCCTTCTAAAGGTTGTTCGTCCCAAACAGCCTAACCGTACATCCCTGTTCCTTTTCGTTCCCGTTGCTGTGCTTGCAGTGTCTCCTGTTGTTTCGGCTACTCTTCTTGCAGTGACTATTCTTCATCCATTACATCCGCTCCCCTCTTAAGACAAAGCTCGTTTCGAGCGGTTCCCTTTTAACTTGCCAGAAGATCCAGTTGTATCCCATTCACTCCTTCACTTTCTCCCATGGCACATTCACTCTCTCTGGGTAGGCCGGTGCTTCTATTTTACCGGCTTCTCTTCTGTGCTCTGCTTCTTCTTCCTCCGGCATCTGAAGGTTCTCTGGGGAGTTTCCTTCTTGAAGGCATTTCTCCGTCGTGCCACTGTCGCACGACAGGATGTCTTCCTGCAGGTGGCAGCAGCTTCATCCGGGATTCATAATCTCCTCCGGTCCAAGATTTATTGAGATGTTCGTCCGACGCCATGCCACTGTTGCACGGTGGGACACCTTCCTACAGGGGGCAGCCAACTTCATCCGGGGTCCACAGTTTTCCCGTGTCGAATTTTTCATATTCCGCTTCTTTTGGTCCCTACGCCTTTTCTTCTTCAGTTCTCTGACCGGCATTACTTCGGCGTCTTCTACGGGTACCTCTTGTTCTGCCACCTCAGGTTTCATGTCCACTGAGGCCGGCTCCTCTTCTAGACATGCCTCCATTTCTTGGCAGGACATCATCCCATCTTCTTCTATCTCGTGTTTAAATGCGGACACCATCTCTGTGTGGCTGGTTCACATTTTATCTGGCATGGCTTCCATCCTTGCTTGGATAGCTATTGTTTCTGCATCCAACTTTTCTCCCCAGGCCCTCATCTTTTTCAGCATTTCCTCTTTGTCCTCGGCGTTCAGTTCGTCATCATTTGTTCTTGGCCAGCTCTGATTTCCTTGAGCAGCATTTCCATCATCTGCTTTGACTCCATTTTTGTCTTTTTTGCGTGGTTTTCACGTGTGTAAGTTCGTAAACCAATTCTGACATCAAATTATCACATGTTGGGTGTATAACGCGACAGATAACTTCATGCCTTATTTGATTCATTCATTCATTCATCAGTAATCTGTCAGACGACAGGTCCACAGTCTCTTCCAAAATAGTTCCTCCACTTAATGCGATCTTCTGTTTTTGGAAAGAGACTATCCAGGAAAAGTGATAATGTGGTAGTTTTTCCATTTGCTTTCCACATCGCAGTACAGCAGCCGTTCAAACCACTCTGGTCACGCCTGTTGCTATACGAACTTGAACCATCTCGAGCATCATTTGCTCTGTGCTTCAAGTCGCTGCTGATGACGCTGCTTCCGGCATCAGTTTTTGGTGTCTCTCTTCGTCTGATGCCTACCCTTTGACCTGTCCAGCAAGGTAGGCCCTGCCAGTAGCTACGCTACCGCTGGTATAGCTCTCAGGGTCCTTGGCATACTCAAACCCCCTCACCACGATAAGGTGGAGACACCAACGAGGGGGCCTTATTTGATATAGCAAATTTATTCCGCTCACTCTTACAGTCACACAATTTACAATCTGGCAATTACTGCCATTGGCAGTATCACAAATACTCCGACGAAAGTTAGACAGCTATTGACTGGTTAACTGACTCCCTGGCTAACTCGTAACTAACTCTTGAATAGTCTTCGCTGCTCCTTATTTAGCCCCATTATGGACAACACAGAAAACAGTTACGTAATAGGCACCACTGTTGTCTGACGCCGTGTTTGCCGATAGCCTAGCAATGCTGTCGGGAGTTGTTTACTGCTGAGTAGCAACGGCGGCATCCCGTGTTACGTCACCGCGGGAGGGGGCGGGGTGTTGACTGGCCTATTACCATAGCAACCGCAACGCTCCGAAGGTGTTACATCACGGCTGATGAGGGAGGGGGCGTCATGCATAGCGCAAATGCGTCACACTGTATTATCATGTTGATTATTTTAAATCGTGAAATACATGAAGTTAAATGTAAGAAGCTTCCTCCTGAGACTATAGTCTTGACACTGAAAGTGTTTTTAAATAACTGGTGACAGTACAGGACATTCTGGTGAGAACTAATCACGTACTTTCCTGTATTGTAACATGGAAAATGACATATGATGAATGTAAATTGTGTTAATTACTGATGATGGCCTAAACATGTAGCAATTTCAGAGTCTGTGGTGCATCTATACAAATAATTGTGTTGACAGAGCCTAGTAACAAAAAAGAAAGTACTCCAGTGTTAACCATTCACAAATATTCAGATACCTTCCTCCATAATTTTGGTACGTAATTAAATTAATCTGTAATATCTACATGTATGTACAGTAAGAATTTATTTTCTTTTGCACAGTGACATTATAAAGGAAATTGGAGTGTGTGGTGATCTGAATTCAGAAACTATGGCTATACTGCTGGAAAATGATATTGATTTTTCACCATATGATGTCAGGCTGTATCAGTATTTCCGTCATTCACCATTTCAAATACCGGTGGAAGAAATAAAATCAAGATCTGATCTCAGGTGAGTATATACACTCAGCTCTCGATTATCCGGGGGTGGATTAACTGGTTTGCGGGGCTTTTTTGAGGCTTATATGTTGTTTAATATTCATTCACTTTTGTTTCACATGGTGAGTTGTAACACTATTTTCACACTAGTGTGAACCGAGCTCAGCATTTTTTGGTCCCGTTATACTAACAGTGTTCTAGGGTAGGGGTGAAAGAATGCAAGGATTTGTGGAAAGTTTCAAGGACAGATATACCACCCCAATTAGTCTCTTTGTATTGATCTTCATGTGTGTTAGAAAAATGTCAGGGTGTAAAGGGAAGCATGTTGTGGTAAGTATTCAGCAGTAACTCGTGTGAGCCGGGCTTTGTTAAGCAGTGTTAAGTGTTAAGTGTGAATATTCATAAAAGTGTTGGATGTTGTTGAACACTGTGATTGAAATAACTAATTCATACTTCAGTGTAATGTAAAAAAAAAGTATTAAATAGGCCATGAGATGACATAAAAATGAGGTTGAATAAATTTAAATACAGGTAGGCCTATAGTATTGTGAAGGTACAGTATTACAGTACTACTTTTAATAAAATTTGTCTTAACTGGGTTTTTGATTAATCATGATTTCCATCCCCACCATTATCCCGTATAATCGAGAGTTGAGTGTATCTCTAGTTATTAAATTGTTATATACTTATCACTATGATCATCATCGTCCCACTTGAAATATTAGGCACATTGAGAGCTGGTATGAATATCACAAAACAGAATCATTACATTATTTCGTAGGTCTTCCCAAATTTGTCATACTTTTTGATCGATGTTTAAAGATCTGTTTCGGAATCCTGCCAGATCCCGTTCTCCAGTGTTTCCATCTCGTATTTATTTTGTAAATTCTGTTATTTATGGAGTTCATAGTTCTTCGAGAATTTATTTTTCCTTTCTTGGTCCAAAATGGTGCATGATATGTGTTAACAAAGTAATGAAATTATTTTTGTGTGTAATCATTTATTCACTTGTCTAAATCATCAGTCACCCCTTCAAAATAACACCCTTCTGATGCACGATGCTTGGCCTAGTGAATTTTCCACTCCTTATAGCAGGGTTAGAAGTCAGCTTGTCTTAGGGTCTTTTGATGCTGTCATTTACAGCTTTATGAGCACAGAACAGATTTTCATTATATTTGATATTGAGGAATTCTATGAAAAATCTGCAAGCCATTTCAATTTTCACTTAAATTTGAACATGTTTAGTGATTAACTTGCATGACGTCCTACATCAATTTCTCCACACATCTCTAAAAATATTTGTTGGACAGAACAGTATTTATTATAAACATTATAGAGTAAAATAAAACACATTTTTATGTTCAATGCATTTTCTCTGTAAGTCTTAAAAATTTTTTGAGATAATTAAACAAAGTAAATGGTGTGTGTATATTTTGTAACTTTCATATTCAGCAATTAACCGTGGCCTTCAGAACACAATCACAATGAAGGGAAAAAGAACAGAGGAAAATCTTCATTGATATCAGACTGTGTTAAAATCAGATCTGTTTTATTGTTTTAATGCAGTGCTATGGGAGTGGATTCATCTGGAAGATAAGAGCCAGTGGTGGGCTCTTAGACACCCAGTAACAAACATTCAGATTCTGTAAAAGGCAGAAAATTTCTTGACTAACTGAATGACTATCAGCTTCTCAGCTTTATGAGGTAAACAACTTACTGTGAGTGTTTGTGTGTTTTTAGGAATGAGTGCATTTTCACAATTGATCCTCAGACAGCACGTGACCTGGATGATGCTGTTTCATGCAAGGAACTTGGCAATGGCAACTTTTTGGTTGGAGTTCACATCTCAGATGTTTCATACTTCCTGAAAGAGGGCACCCCTCTAGACCAAGCAGTGGCCAAGAAAGCAACGAGTACTTATTTGGTTCAGTCTGTAAGTGTTGGTACCTATATTATTATTATTATTATTATGGAGGGGGTGGGTTTCCCCATGCACTGTGAACAGTTGATGATCTATTGTGCGTCCCCCTTAAATTATTCTACCAGTTGCCATGCCCTTCCAGTACTGGTGCTCACTATCAGCCCTGTTCTGCCAGCGAGGTCGGCCCTCTCTGGCAGTGGTCCCCGATACTACCGGAAACCACTTGGGTGGGAAACTTTGCCTAATTTTGCTCAGAGGTCTCCTAGAGACATGAGGATCTTTTACATGGCGAAAATCTACTCTCGTACCTTGAGTGATGAGGTGAGAACGTTACCCCTAGACTACGGAGGCCGCTTTTGTACCTATAAACTACCACTGTACTGTGTCACATGTTTTTATATTTTCTGTTTTACCTGTTCTGCCCCACCTTTTCATAGCATAGAAATTTATTCGGTATTAGTGAGAGCAGCTTCATAAATGAAATTAAGAAGTGGTACTGTGGGTACTGTAAAGGAAGGCAAACCCTTTCTTGAATTTCGTCTTTATTGATGAATATGGCCTCTCATCTTTGTGTCATGACACGGCCTCAGGTTGCATATTGAGAAAGGTCACTTCAGGAAGAGAGAGACTGGAAGAAGTGGTCGCTCTGAGTGAACCTTTGGTTCGCTGAGTGAAGTAAGGAGAAACAGAGCAAGGAAATGGTGGGCCTTAAGGGGCCTATTTCAAGGGCAGAGTGAATGGGAGGACAGGCAAAACACTGACAGGTGTTGATTGCAGGGAAAGGGGGAAGAAGGATACAAAGGACATAGTAGGAGAGAAAGGGATTGATTTCTAAACAGGGGCAGCATCTGTACTCTGAGGAGGCTGTGTACACTTCACCTAACAGTCAGTTTCTAGAGCCACATCACAGGAAGTCTTATAAAGCAAGCTCTTTTAAAGATGTCACATTCATTTGGCATTTTTCATACACTTCTCAGTTGCTCATGACCCCAGTCCTCATTCTTCCCATGTCCCTCCATGATGTTGGTAAACATCTGCCACCCTGCATGACATCATATCCCAGAAGACAGTATTGTTCATAGTCCCTGCCATGGGAACCTAAAAAGTCTGCATTGTTAAAACTGCTAGGGAATCTGGTAACATGGACATTTTTCTTAGACAGTGAACAATGAGCAGAAATCAAGTCATTTGAGTGTTTTATAAATTTCTGAAAATTTAACAATTTTTGTTGAAGACTCAGTGTTTATGGCTATATTTTTGATATTAATGGAATTGTTCTTTGGGAATTTGTGTCATGTGCCCAAACTGTGAATGATAAACATTTCTACACAGTGGCATCCGTAAGAAAACATTTACCGACATATTTGAGGATTGATGTATTTGCCATGTCATTGCTGCCTATGTCACTTTGATTTTTCTGTACAGGAATTTCTGGTCACAAACCAGAAGATGTATTTCATACTCTCCACATTCTCCAGCCATGCGTGACTTTCCTGTTTCCTGAATTCAACTTTGTATTTGTGGAGGAAGGCATTTGATATCAGTGTGATTAAAGAAAAGAATCGCAAGACTGCACATGTAAAGATCAAAACACAGGACCTTCATAGATGTTTCCAATAATAATGGCAGAATAGTTGAACTCACTGTATGAGATAATGGCTTGAAATAACCACAAACTACATAAAGTAAACAGGAAAACATTTATTCCAGAAATATTTTTGAATACATTTGGCATACATTCATTTAATTTGTAGTTCATTATTTACTAATTACCCACCATCTGAGCTATTGGAAATGTCATCAAATAAACTGAGAGGGATAAATTGGTAATTAGAAACCTATTCTTTCAGGTGTTCCATATGCTGCCTACAGAATTGTGTTCTATATGCTCTCTGTTACCTGGTGATGATAAGCTAGCTTTTTCAGTCTTCTGGGAGATAACACCGCAAGCAGAAATTCTGAAGCACTACATCACACGTTCTGTCATCAGGTCATGTGCTCAACTTTCCTATCAGCATGCACAGGTAAATTTTGATTGATGTGAAGCTTATGTGGTCATTCAGAAAAATTTCCTCATCCACACACTAACAAATTTATTTTCACTATGTGATCTTTGTTATTCATATTTCACCAATGTTTTTCCCCATTAAATTATTCTCAAATGACATTAAAATATTGTAAAAAATAAGGGATTTATGTATATCATTTCTTCCCCCCCCTTTCAGTTATTTTCAGTATTGCATATGCACATTTAAACTGTCATAGACAAAGAAATGAACTTAATTTTAATCACTTTATACGGCATTTCTGCCAATAGGTGACATTGCTTGTATATAGCAATGTTCTCAGGAAAGAAGAGGCTTTCACAATTTCTGTACCTGTGGTCATTTTTAGGTACCCTGAAGAAGTATTGTGGATTTATTTTTGTGCAGCTACTTTTACCCCCAAGCAGCCTTGGCAATTCGAGTAGTTAGTTGTATGTCAGGGCTTGACTTGGCAATCAAAGTGTTAAACACAGTGGTTATTATAGTGTCACATGTTAGAGTTACTCTCAACTGGGTTTTGGATTTGATATTGGATTTATTGACCACTTATGGATTGTAACTATAACAGTTTCACAGAATTACACATTCCAAATATCGCTGTAACTACAGCACACATACAGTCTTCTTAGTCTTCACAGGTTGTTTCTTGGCAGTGGATTTTAACACAGTAACTATAACAATCTCATTGAACTACAGCACACACAAAGTCTTCTTTGTCATCACCAGATGTTTCCTGGTAACAGATTTTAAGAGTGGAGTTTCTCCAACTTCAGTGCTAACTGCGCCAACTATGTCTTCTTGTCACAGTTACCCTGGGTCCAGATCAAGTTACACACTCAAATATTGAAATGAAGTGGAGTGGCAAAATTACCCTAAAGCATACCCTGAATACCATTAAGACTTCATTGTTATTATTGCAGGTTATGCTGGAAAACCCAGACAAACAGTGGAATAAAGATGAACTGCCACAAATCTATGGAAAATATGCACCTAAGGACCTGAGTTGTGTGGTGAATACTTTGAATCGCCTTGCTGTCATCATGAGAGCCAAGCGGTTTGGAGATGGTGCTCTGAAGATTGATCAGCCAAAACTCTGTTTCTCCCTGGTGAATGGAAGTGGTCTTCCTTTGGAGTGTTCATTATATGTTAACACAGAGAGTCACAGGTGATTGTACTGACTGATTGTCTCTTCCTGCAGTTATTATTAAAGACTCGAAACTACATCCAGTTAGGGATATTTTTTCTCCATAATACAGGGAATGGACAAAAATATGGAAACACCCAAAAAAAACACATTACCATGACTAACACGGTGTAGGACAACCTCTGGCTTTCAGAACTGCTTGCAGTCTCCTTGGAATGGAAATAGAGGTCCTGTACCATTCTTCCTGAAAAACATGGTAAGTTCTGTTATCGATGATGGAGGTGGATAGCACGCATGCAGATTGCTCTCCAAAACAGACCACAAAGGCTCAGTAATATTGATATCTGGCAATTGTGGGGGCCATGGCAGACGTGACACTTCGTCTTCGTTGTCAGAAAACCAGTCCTGGACGATGTGAGCTATGTAAACACAGGCATTGTTGGCTTGGTAAATGGCATCACCATTAGGGAACAAAGTTTGTACCATGGGATGGACCTGGTCGCCCTAAATGGTTACGTAGTCGTTGGCAGTGACGTGACCTTGCAGGGTAATGATGGTTCCGACAGAATACCACGATATGGCTGCCCATGCCATGATCAAACCCCCACCATGTTTCACTCTTGGCAGCAAACAATCTGGATCGTAACCTTGGGATGGCGTTCTCCAGACATAAACTCGGCGAGAAGTTGGAAACAGTGTGAAGGTGGACTCATCCGACCAAATGACCGTCTTCCATTGCTACATGGTCCAGGTTTTATGATTTTGGCACCACACTGTCCTCTTAGTGGCATTTTGATCACTGATGAGTGGTTTTGGAATTGCAGCTCATCCAGAAATACCCTGCTTGTGGAGTTCCCTTCGTACTGTTTTGGTGCTGACAGGGTTTGTGAGTGTGACATTCAGTTCAGCAGTCACTTTTGCAGCTGTAGTCTTCTTATTTTTCGTCACAATCCTACGCGATGTTCGTCTGTCTCAATCACTCACCACACATTTCCGTCTACGCTGGTGTTTATCGGATGCGGTTTTTTCGGTCCTCCTGTATGTGGTCATAATCTTGGATACTCTGCCTCGCAAAACACCAAAAACCTCGGCTACCTTGGTTACGGAAGCACCCACCATATGGGCCTCAACAATTTGCCTGCGTTCAAATTCTGTTAGCTCTGACGTGATGCACAAAAAAATGCACAGAACACTGTCTCGACAACAAATGAAGCTTGCAACATATTGCGGAGGTTGTACAGGTAGTGGTGTTGGGCAGATACGACAGCATGATCTACGTTGCTAAAATAAACACTTCAATTCAGGCATGCAGTTCACGAGGTTTTTCCATATTTTTGTCCATCCCTGTAGATTAAATAGTTCTGACTCCATGAATTAAGTCTTTTTGAGCTATATACAAGGGTTATACCTCCATGACAGCCTTCTGCAAGTAGGTACAGTGGATATATTTTCGTGACTTAAGTCTTCTGGAAATAGATGCAGTGGTTACACCTCCATAACTTAGATCTTTTGGAATTAAGTGCGGGGTTTTACTTCCATGATTTAAGTCTTCTGGAAGTAGAGGCAATGGTTATGTATATCTCTATACCTTTGTTACTTAAGTCTGCAGGTGAAAGGTAAAAGGTAAAGTTGTCTCTGTGCTTAACTAATTAAGCATTACACTGTGAAGATGTATCGAGGAGTGTATGTGTAGATCCACATTTTCTTGACCTTGGAACTAATTGGAAGTGAGTGATCAGTTTCACACCCTGGCCACTTTACCCACAAGGAAAGAACCCCCATTGTATAAGAGGCTTGGAGGGCCCCAGAGCCAGCCTGGATGACATGGAGAAGTATACAAACTCTTGACCCTACCAGGACTAAAACTCTGACACCTCTAAGTCTGTAGGTGGCCTCCATTTACCGTACTACCAGGTGCCATGTTTATACCACCATACCCCAGTCTTCTGGAATTATATCATGAAATTTCTGTCATTAGTATATATAAAAATGTAACTTGTCTGTTTCCTCTTTCCCACAATAAGCCTTATAGAGAACACCAGATGATACGAAGTTTAGCCCAAGCACTTGCAGCCAGTATGTGCAATAGCAAAGTTTGTTAAAGCAATGTGGAAACATCATGGTAGAGGTATAATGATTATACTGCTATGCACATGAAAATGACCTTGACATTAATGCTGTAAAAGTTTGAAAAGAAACACGGTTGCTGAAACAGAGAAATCAATGATAAGGGTTCTTTGATTTTCACATGATACAGAACATGACCAAGTCTAATTTAATTGTAAAAGCTAATTAAGTGAAGTCTTTATTAAATGAATTTCTGGGAGAATAGTTTTCCTTATATTAACTTAAGGTTATCACTGAATGGGAGTTGTGAGAAGTCACATGAGGAAACTGTTCATCTTCTTTTAAGACTGCATATAATTGTCATAAAATAATTTCCTTACGTAAGTAGTTAATGAACTTTTCTACATTAATAATAAATGATACAATAATATATTTATTTTTAAATTAATAACAAGTGAAATTATCCCTGAAAAAACCTTAGTTGAAAATTAGAGCATCTCTTGATATGCTACAAGCAGCATGTCTTGGGGGCATTTTAAGTATGTAATGTCACTCACCAAAGGTTATGGTCATACAGTAAGAATTTCCAGTAGAGAAAAAATGTGAATATCGGTTGTTGTGACTACACTCGCACTGAACCAAGTTACTGAAAATTTCACACACAAAATTTGGGTTATTTAATGAATTGAAAGTCACTAAATGCATGAAAGTAATATATTATTTGTATTGTACTTTAGCCAGGAGCAGAGAAAATATTCAGTAAATATGGGATTTCATTAAATAGACAGGTATGCCAAATCAGAGTTCTACTGTATTTATGCACACATGTATACAAGCACACAGATGCACAGAATTTTAGTACATATCTATGAGCATAAAGCATACAAGACCACAGCTATTTCTAACTGTTTCTTATCATTTTACCAAGTGTTAAATTATATTACCACTGCATCTATAAATTCTTCAGTAATGACACTAGGTATTGAACAGTTTAAATAAAAATAAATGACATTGAATTCATTTGCAGGCTCATTGAAGAATTCATGTTGTTGGCCAATATGACTGTTGCAAAACAGCTCTCTGCGGATTTCCCAGACCTAGCTTTCCTACGTTCTCATCCAGCACCCTCTCCATACATCATGAAAGAATTAAAAAAGTCTCTGGAGGAAAGAGGAATCTTCATTGATATTAGTTCTGCTGGTGGCTTACAAGCCTCGATACATCAGTATGATGGTGATGATCCCATTAGCCAAGCCAGGATGTTGGTGCTTAACAATCTGTGTGCCAGAAGCATGATTGTAAGTTAACAGAGATTTTTCTAATGTTGAAAATCGGTGATTTTTGTTAAGTGTTTCTGGCTCCTGCCCACCTTCACAAGTGTGGGGAAACTGTTTCTCAGATGGGGGTACTTATTAAACAGATTCTGTTACCCTCAGTGCTATGAGAAAGATCCACTGATGTCATTAATGTCCATTTTTAAAATTGAGTGTGACACCTTAAGTTTTTTCTTTTGGGAATCGTAATGTGGAATTTCTTAAGGAAGTATAACTTCTTGAGAAAGACTGTTTTATTTTCATGTTTCATTTCCTTTCCATTCCAGAGAGCCAAGTACTTCTGTGCTAATTTTATTAATGCAGAAGAAGGTTTTTGGCACTATGCCCTCAATGTACCTCTTTATACACACTTCACATCACCGATCCGGAGATACGCAGACGTGATGGTGCATCGATTATTGTGTGCCTCTCTTGGGTACTCACCTAAGCCCAATTGGAAGCCCGATTCTGTGCAGGCGTAAGTCAATGTCTTGGAGTATAACATACCTTATCCCTGCGACTCCTGAGTATTTCTTAGTTTGTTGACTCATTAGGACTAGAGTATACATACATGCTTTACCTTGTGTGTCGAAAGATGGCAGAGTATGTACAAGTTGTAGCTGACCACATGTATCTTGCCCCTTACCCCCCAAAACAATTGAAGAATTGTCTAAGTTACAGGCTGGAATATCCTGCGTATGGATGGAACTGCCCCCTCCCCCCAAATACAAAATTACGCACTGAGCTCTCCTTCTGTGAAGACCAGTGTTACATCTTATAGATGAATTGCCAGACTTTATTTAAAACATAATGTTTACAAGAAAGATTGCCATACAGGAGAAAAAAAAATTTTAAATCAAATATTTTGTACAGAAAATAGGCATTGAAGTACTGACATACTCAGAGCATGGCATATCTGATAGAGCCTGCTTCATATGCATAGTAATTCAACTGAACATTGCTGTCAAGTGGTAAATGCTCCTGTTTCAAATTTGGAATGTTTCGGGTTCAAATATTTGATCTGGACCAGCTGTCTTGACTGAGGTTTCCATGGTTTTCCTCATTCCTTCTAGGTAAATGCCAGTATAGTACTGTGAATTAGGCCATGCCTGTTTCTTTCCACATCATTTCCAATTCATTAATCAGCTCATCATGCAGTGCTGTAATCTGGACAATCGTTAAGGGTCAGTAACTAAAGCAAGACTAAACATAAGCTGTATCACTTGATTAACAAAGAGAAGGTAAAGTAACTAGACAAAAAATTGGATTGATATGTTGGTGGTTTCTCTATGTACCAAGTGTAGTGAAGATATCATCTTATAGATAATAGTGTTTCCTCCACACTGTAAGTAAGTTTGTACCTTCAAGACTGTTACCAGAACCTCATTGGTGGAAACCATGATACATTATATGAAAGTGTCATTATCATTAAATTATGAGACACTTTAAAGAAGCACGCATTGCTCATTTCACTTTTACAGTAATTACAAACACAACTGAGAGGGTGTTATTAAAATGCTGTAGAGAAGCAGAGTGTGAAGGTGTAGATAGAATTCATCTGGCTTAAGAATAATTCCAGTGGCAGGCTTTTGTGAACATATTGTGACATGTTGCGCAAAGCCCCCCCCCACACCAGCAGTGACGCGGTGGGTGAGTCAGCGCTCCCCTCCGACCCCTCAGCGGTAACGTAACGCTCGCGGTAATAGGCGAGTAATAACCCCGCAATGCGCAACGCGCGGTGACGTCACGAGCGGAGCCGAAGAGAGCCGAGCGGAGCCGAAGATAGCCGAGCCCCGTACCCTGGCAACTACGCAA